CATTTTGTGAGGGAAAAAAAAAAAATAAAGAAAAATTTAATAAAAAAGACAAAACACCCGCTTGGAAAGCAGCCAGAAATTAAGCCAAGCCAGCAGCCCCGACCCACCCCACCACCAGGGAGGGAGGAAGGAGCCCGGACCTCGCCCCACACCCCCGGGGACCGCCAGCCCCGGCCCCCCCCCGGCTGTCAGGGCGGTGGCGGCGGGCACGGGGGGAGCCCCATTACTCAGCACATCCTCCCCGCGCTCCGCCATCCCCTCACGGATCCCCCCCTCAGGCACCCCCGGACCCCGCCGTGCCCTGCACGTCCCCTCACGGCTCCTGAGGGGGGCGCAGGGAGGGGACGCACCTCAGCCCCCCCCCCACCCCTCACCGTCGCCACTCGCCCGCACCCACCTGGCCCCGCCGTCCCGTCCCGTCCCGTCCCGTTCCCCTCCCTCTCTCCCTCACGCCGGCTCCGGCTCCTTTTGTTCGGCCCTGACCGCACCGCGGCCGCCCCACCCAGGAACTGACCTCACCCGCCCGGCATGGCGGCGGCCGCCGCTGCTACTCAGGGGAGGAGGGCGCCGCCATCTTGGGAGCGGGCACGAAGGGCAGCGGGCGCCATCTTTACGCAGGGAGCGGGGGGGGGGTGTAATGAGGAGGGGGGGGATGGTGAAGGCGTGGGCACCATCTTGGTGCAGGGCAGGTGGCAAAATAGGGAGTCTTAAAGGGGCAGCCCCAACGCTGGCCTCAGCCCCGGGCCTGTGGTAGGACAGCTCTAGTTTGGAGTCCAAACCCTTTCTGTAAAAAAAATCCTGTATAAAAAGATTTACCTCTGCCTTACGGTTTATAGTAGATACAACCAGCATCAACATCAAGGCTATTTAATAAGAGAGCAAAAATATTTTAACATCGTTACCCAATCATTTAATCATCATTTACCACTCATTCCTCAAGAACCCACCTATGGAAAACATTCTAAAGGGGAATGTTCTATGATTCTATGCTGAAAGCCCCATTCTTCTCATTGAGAATCATAGAATCATAAGGGTTGGAAAAGACCTTTAAGATCACCTGGTCCGTCCATTACCCTACTACCAGTGTCACCCACTAAACCCTGTCCCCAAGCGCCACGTCCAACCTCTCCTTGAACACCCCCAGGGACGGTGACTCCACCACCTCCCTGGGCAACCCGTCCCGATGTCTGACCACTCTTTCTGAGGAGAAATGTCTCCTCATTTCCAACCTGAACCTCCCCTGAAGCAACTTGAGGCCATTCCCTCTGGTCCTACCACTGGTTACCTGTGAGAAGAGGCCGACCTTGAGCTCCCCACACCTTCCTTTCAGTTAGCTGTAGAGAGCAATAAGGTGTCCCCTGAGCCTCCTCCTCTCCAGTTCAGCAAACTAAGACCACTAAAAACACAGCATTTGTTTCCTTGCTGCGGGAATAGGAATACTGCTGTGTGGTGAGGGTACATCCACCTGCAGTTCTGTGGGGCCTAAAAAAAAGCAGGCTGATCCACTCATGATTATTTTCATTTGGCTGACTCATTAGAGGACGATGGGCAACATCATTTTTTAAAATATTCATAAAGGATAGTTCAAAGGCATTCATTATAATTTCATCAGTGTACAAAAAGCAGTTCTGAGTGGTTAAGTGCAGCCAATTTTAACTTGTATATACCATTGATTGCTGCTGTAGTAAAATAAGCATATCTGTGGCTTTCTAGGAACATTATTGGTCTTAATATCTCTGTAGTCATGGGCACAGGACCTGTACCAGAGGAGCTTTGATTCCGCCTGCCAGAGGACAGGTTTGGAGACAATAACTTACACAGGGCAAGAGCTAGATTTTTGGAAAATATGACATTAAGAAGGATTGTTCATGTTTAGATGTACTTAAATCAAAATATGCTTTCTTCTTTATTTCAAGAGGAAATTAAGGTGAAGTCACACGTTACAGTTGAGCCAGTATAAAGGCCAAATCCTGTCAAAGAGGGTGAGAGTTCATACTCCTGCCCATGTCCTCTTCCCCCCATTCCCTTCTGCTCTGGGCCCTGCCCAGGTCTCCACTTCATAGCTGTGTCTTTAACACTCACACCCTGCCCTGGGCCTATTCAGCTCACTAACCTGACAGAAAACTGCCCATTTTTTTCTACCAGAATGGCTTTCTGCTGGTTTAGCATGTCTAGTGAGCTCAACTCAGGGTCAAACAACCCCAGATTAGGGCAGCAGGAGGGATTGAGCTGTAAAATTGTCTCAGGATGTGTTGTGAAATCCTTTCAGGAGCAAACAAAAGCTTTCTTTCCAGTTGTTTGTTTCAGTGTTTGCGTTAAACAGAAGTTTAGCAAACAAAGCATTTGCATCTGCCTGCACAGAAATTCCCTCCCGGTTAGTCACGGCAGTGATGCTGTGGGCCTGGCGGCGGGATGTCGTGTCAGGAGTTGGGAACCTTTGCACAGCGGACGTCAGCCGCTTCCTTCCCCGTGCCTCACTTTTTCCTACTGAGAGAGACAGAGAGACAGTCATCACTCAGGAGAGCTACACGACCTGATTCATCAGGGCATGTAATGCCCCGTCACAAAAGGAAAAGGGAAGCCAAGAGAAGATAATTTGCTCTCTACGCCTCACTTGAGCAATTGTCACCTCTCACACACCTGGTGGAGAGTTCAGTTCCTGCATACCTGCCGAAATCCCGCTCTGAGGCTGCTCTCTGTCCCCCTAGCCATCCGCAGCCCAGGAGCAGGACGATGCTGCAGGGTCCTACTTTAGGTTATATCATGGACACTTGGTCATTATCCCCTGATAAACATAACAAAGATGCCTTCACTTTCTGTATCTTTAAACTGTTCTCTTCTGTAACAACATGAAGCCTGCAGGCTGAAATTTTTCAAAGTGCCCAACTGACATAAAAACTATTTTTTTTCAAAATGACTGAGACCTGCACTCAAAGAGAAATTCACTGCCACTGCCGTGCCAAAGTAGTTAGAGCCCTGCCGCACTAATTACCCTGTTCCAGGTACAAGGCTCCATCTGAACAACAGGCTGCGTTATTTTCCCAGGTGGCCACGATCCTCTGGCACCTCTGGCTCTGAGCCACTGCAAGAAAGGCACCAGTCCCCCAAAGCCCTCTCCTTCCTGGTACTTCAGAGTGACCCGAGAGCTCCTTTTCCCCGGTACCATCTTCTCCACCCGAGTGTTGTAGCTCGATTCCTGCCTTCCTGCAGCTCTCGAGACTCCTCCCAGGAAGTCCTGCTGCAGATGAAGCATTTTGGTACATGGGGCGACCGGCATGTGTGTGAGGGCTGCTTGGGTGGTCGTGCCGGACTTTTGCAGCGTAATGCAGCGTGGCCCAGCTTGACGTAAGTCGGATTTACCCCCACTGCCACCCCTGCTGAGGGGCTGCCCCGTGCCAACGCGTGTGCGCTCGCTGGCTGCTGCATGCACCCGCGCTCCTGTGGTGCAGTGGGTGCAGGGGGACCCTCGTTCCCCAGAGCCCTTCGGGTGCACCCACGAGCGGCCAGGCTGGACACTGGGGCAGCACCGGGACGGAGGAGATCGCCGGTGAGTGACCGACCGATCCCTGCGGTGACCTTTCGGTTGCCTCGTCCAAGATCTTGAGTGCTCCGTCCCGCCTGCCCTGCGCCTTGCAGGGAGCGTAGGTACGGCACGGCCAGAAAACTCAGCCAGGGGAGAAGCTCCCTGAGCTTTTCCCAGGCTTTTTGACTCTCTGGTGACTGACCCCACCGCAAAACATTGCCCAGGGTCGGGGAGGTGAGGCAGAGCCCCCTGCCCTAGCCCCAGTGCTCCCAAAGGTGGCAGTGCCCCGAGCCCAGCACTCCCTCTAGCAGGTGAAGGAACAGTCTGCATCAGGCACAGCAATTAATTTGTTTGGGGCCTTAAAGGAAACCTAAACACCAAAATCCATAAGCACATTAACCCCTGAGGCCCCTTGTTTCCCTTGCCAGCCCCGAGAGGCAGGGTGCCCGAGCCGTGAAGCCAAACCACAGCCACATCAGCGAGGAGGGTGAAGGGGAGGAAGGGCAGAGGCAGGAGACATGAGGGAAAAAGCAGGTGGGAAGGTGATGAATGACACCCGATTCCAGAGGATGCCCTTTTGCTGGTGTCTCTACTGCTCCCCCAGTGCAGAGGAAAGCAGTGGTAGTGTGGAACTGGGGGGAGAGGATGCAGAAGCTGCAGGTGTTGCCCTTGTGATCCTGCTTTCATGCGTGTCATAGGCACAAAGTGCAGCCCCAGCCCTGTTTGACATTGCAGTGACAGCACACAAAGTGTCTGGGCTGCCTTTTCCTATCCAGAGGGAAGGAACCACAGCTTTGGGCCTGGACCTGCAGTGTGTCCCCAGGTAAAAGAAACATTTGCTTCGTGCCTGCAGCTGCGGAGCGATTTTCTCATCCCTCTGCTTTGTGTCTGGGGGAAATACAGGTCCGTGCCCACGAGAGTGAGCCAGCAGGAGCCGTGGCATGCTCAGGAGAGCAGGACCATCTCTGCGTCACTTCTTGCTGGAGAGGAATTGCGGCGCTGGATATAGCTCCTGCTCCAGCGAGGTATTGAATGCCCAGCACGACTGCTTCTGGCCCGCAGCCTGCTCCCTGGCTCAGGCCACAGCAGTGTGGAGCTGGGGAACGAGCCTTGGCAGTGGCAGCAGATAGGGCACGTCAGGAAAAGTCACCCTGATGCAATGTCCGCTGCAACCCAATTATTTCCAGGTAGCCTGGTTAAAGGGAACGTCTCACACAAGCAAGAGAATACTCTTTACACAGAGGAAAGCTCATTGTTTGTGGGATTGCCTCATCTGAAGGTGTCTTCTGCTAAAGCCTCTTGGGTTGCAAAATACTTGGAGCACGAATTATCAGCATCCTCCTGGAGGTAGAAACTTGCAGAGCAAGGCACTGACGTGCGGTGAGGAGTCAGTGGTAGAGTGCAGAGCACGGCCGTGGCTGCCAAGTTGTCCGCCGGGCAGATTGTGCCTGGAGGAACAGCGTTGGGTTTGGGAGCAGAACAGGCTGACATGGATTTGGGGGCTACGTGGTCCTGAGCCCACGTTGCTCTCCAGCCCAGTGGGCAGCCACCCAGGGCAGCGTCACACAGGCCGGGGATGGGACAGAGGGAAGTCAAGAGAAGAAAGGATGTCATTGCCACTTCTGAAAGGGTTGGAGCAAGCAGGGCCCTTCCTCAGAATTGGGAATTTCTAGGCTTATAGCACCCTGCTCCCACTGAGCCACCTTTCAGAGCTGTTACATTCTCTGAGCTGTGGCCAGCAACAACACGAGGGGACAGCGCTGGAGCTGTTAATGTTTAACCTCCAGCTATCTTTTACTTCCCAAGCCACAAATCCTACTCCCACCACAACCAGCTCAAGCCTCGGGTCTTGCTGACTGTAATGCCCGTGGGCCTGTGCAGAAAAGGCAAAGAAGGGGGCTGGGGGAGATGCGTGGGACTCCCCTAGAGCCGGGGAGGCAGTGACTCCTGCTCACCCTTGGCTGCCTGCCCAGCACCACGGGGGAGCACAGAGTCCACCCGCTGCCCTCTGAAACTCAGGATTCCTTGTAATTTATTTGCAAAAATCCCTAGCGAGGGCTGAAGCCGCATGAAAAAAAAAATCCAGAGACACAAATCAGTGTTGGGGCAGTACTCAAACGCTGGTACAGCCTCGTGGGAAGGGCAGCGGCAAGCAGGTAAGTGGGGAGTTACCGCTGGGGGGGCACCGTAACCCCACCATCCCGGCACAACAGAGCGCAGACCCTTTCCCCGTACAGCCCAGCTCCTCCACATCTCACACCTCGGCTGCTTGCATGTGCTCTCCTCATCCCTGATTGTGTTTTGCTCGCTGTGGGGATGGTCATTTTCTTGGCTCGTTGCTTCACAGATGCCCTCCTCCATCCCCACAGGGGCTTTTCTTGGCGCGTTGAGCATCTTTCGTGTCCCATCTCCGGTCCCCTCCCTGTCTGGTTGCCTTTTCTCCTGCACTGCTGTTACTAAATTCTGCCTCTGTTGCTTTTCATCATCCTCACGATAAATTCCCCAGCAAGCACATCAGACTTTCTCCTGCCATGCTCACCAAACGGGAAGGAGGATTTTGCTCGGTGTTCTCCCTGCTGCCCCTCTTCCAACCCCCCCAGCCACGATGCACGTGGACACAGGCACTGGTCAGGCAAGCAGTCCCTCGGTGTCTCCATGTGCCAGGCTGCCATGTGTGTGCTGTGCTCCCCTCCTGCCTGCACTCAGCTGCTGCCTGGTTTTGGTGTGAATTTTAGGTGCAGAATTTACCAGCGTTTAGTTTAGGACCTAGGGCAGCCACGGGCTCCAGCAGGCCAAAGGAGCAAACACCATTTCTGCCGCTCCTCAGGGCGGTGTGGAATAAAAATGTTTGTTCTTTTAGAAAAAGAGGATGTTTTGTGGACTGTAGGGAACAAAGAGGTCCTTCTGAAAAGAGAGGCTATGGAAAAGCAAAAGCCTGAGTCCTGGGGTTATTGGCCTGGCTGTTAGAGCCTGGCTGAGCTCATTTGACCCACGACTTACTCCAACTGCAAACAAGGTCCAAGGCATTGCTGGTGCCCCGGTGAGGTACCCACACCCCAGTCGTTCAGCTGTTTTCTTTCTGAAACTCGGAAATGAAACATCCTCTGCCAGCTCTCGTCAGTCTGAGCTCTCATTAGATGTGTGAATCTTCTCCCAGAAGCCGCTGTGCCAGCATTGCTGCCCTGGGGTCGGTCAGCAGAGGCGGTGAAGCCTCGCAGGAGCTCACACCTTCTGCTGGGGGCACCCCTCCTGCAGCAGGACACCCCCCCTGCCACTGAGCTCCAAGCTCACTTTCTCTTCACAGGCAAAAATGTCAAGGCCAGTGCAAGCTCGGAGGCTGGAGGGAGTCGATAAGAATATCTGGTGAGTTCAGCTGCTACTGGGCAGCCCCTGGTTTACCCCGCGGGTAGATGTGATTTTGGGCAGCCTAACATCAGACAGAAAGCGCTGCGGTTGCACGGCGCGGAGCAGCACCTCGCTCGGCTGCTTTGCATTTGTTCAGGAAACACACCGGGGGAATTTAGTCCCGTGAGGCTTTACACCAGCTCAGCTGCGTGCCTGCTGCTCGTGCTTTGCAGCATCAGCTCCTCGCTGTCCCGAGGGAAGGCGGTCGGTAGCAGCACCCAGACCTGAGCCGAGCGGTCGCAGCGCGCTTTCTCCAGCTCAGCATCAGCTTCAAGCCCAGCCTCGGGCACTGGCAGCAGGGAGGCAGGCGAAGGGGTGCTGCTAGCTCTGCTCCCAGCCTGCCAGGAGCTGTGGCATTGGGAATGCTGCGTGCTTTAATACAGGTGTTAAATGAGCTTTGCCCTGCTGTGCCTAGCTTCAAGCTACAAAGTGCCAATAAGCCATAATAAGCCATAAGGGTGCGATGAGCGCTGAGTTCAGCCTGTCTTACCCCCCGCCGATGCCTTCACGGTGCCTGGTTGCTAATTTTTCTAGAACTGGCCTCAGCTTGAAAGCCTCCGTGACCTCTCCTGCTCGGTCGGGTCTGACCAGCAGTGGTGTGTGGCTTCAGCCGTGACCGCACACAACTGCCGTGTCCTTCAAAAAAAAGCTAAAACCCTTCCCAGTGCAATAGTGCCTGGCTCGGTTTTAATTGAAACTGGTCTGAAACGCCCTGTGCCTGCTGCAAGCAGTGAGGATGGGGCAGAAACCAGCCCTGCTGTGGGAGCTGCTCCCCCAGCCGGTGCTGCCCACCCACCTCGCTCCCTGCCAAAGGGATGCCAGCAAGGAGAGCCGGTGCCAGACCCTCTGTCACGCTTGTCCTTCTCTCCCTTCCCTCTCTCCAGGGTGGAATTTGTAAAACTGGCTGCCACCTACTCCACGGTGAACCTGGGCCAGGGCTTCCCCGACTTCCCCCCACCGGACTTTTTGAAGGAAGAGTTCACCAGAGCCTTCAGCGGGGAGAAGCACATGCTGCACCAGTACACCCGTGCCTTCGTACGTAGACAGCCCCCCTGCTAGGCGCTACCCCCGAGCCCTGCCCCAGATGGACCAGGGCTTGAACAAGCTCAGGCACCCCGAGCAATGCACACCCCATGTGGGCGCATGGGCAGGGACCCCCCCAGCTGCTGCAGTGGATGGGCAGAGCCATCCAGATTTGTTGGGGATGATGGAGACATCTCCTTGCAACAGCTTCCATCTTTGCCCCTGTCTTCTTTCCAGGAGGGCCCGATCCTGCTTGCCATTGCAGAAATACCTCTCTGGCAGTGCTGGCTGGGCAGGGAGAAGCTCCACTTGTTTAAATAGGATTTTTGTCACCTGCAGTTGTGGTGACAGAGCTGGCAACAGCTGGGGCACCCTGCAAAGAAAAACAAACAAACAAACAAACAAACAAACAAACCAGGGAATTATTTCCAGGCAGGATCGTGCCTCTGTTCTGCTGCAGGGACACATTGGACACAAGTGCAGGGGCCCACTGGATGTGGGGTTTGTTGCCAAAACCCCGTAGCATGAGGCACCCATGTATATGAGGCAGAGCCATCGCGACAGGGAAACCCAACACGGGGCACTTGGCTGCTCAGAGCCATCCGAAGGCCTCATCCCTGGTTTGGGAGGCTTCCACCACCCACTTCTCACCCACTCCTCTCGCCCCACAGGGCCACCCGCCTCTGGTGAAGATCCTAGCCCAGCTTTTTGGGAAGCTGCTCGGACGAGACCTGGATCCTATGACCAACGTGATGGTGACTGTAGGGGCGTACCAGGCCCTCTTCTGCTGCTTCCAGGCTTTCGTTGATGAAGGCGATGAGGTAACCCAGGACCCTCCCATGGCTCTGCGCAGCCCTCGGGTAGGTCTGAGCAGGGCCCGGAGGCTGCTGCCATGCCCCCTCTCTTCCAGGTGATAATCATTGAGCCCTTCTTCGACTGCTATGAGCCGATGGTGAAAATGGCTGGTGGGACACCCGTGTTCATCCCGCTGAGACCGGTGAGTGGGTCAGAGTGGAGTCGTCGAGGAGGGAAGAGGATTTGTAGCATGGTGAACTCTAAGCAAAGCACAGAGGCAGCAAAGCAAGCTGAGGTTCCCCTCTGTTCTCTCTAGAAAGCTCCAAAAGATGGAAAATTGATGTCTAGTGCGGACTGGAAGCTGGACCCTGCTGAATTGGCTTCTAAATTCAGTGAACGGACAAAAGCCATCGTCCTGAACTCACCCAACAACCCTCTGGGCAAGGTAACGCCTCTGGCCTCGCTGTGGGCAGCCCTGAGAGCAGCTGGGGTGCTACAGCTGGCCCAGACATGGCTGTGGTGTGGCACCAACTCCACACTCCTGGCTCGCAGATGTGCTCTGCTGGCATTTTGAAGCCCAATCTTGTGTGCCAGCAGTGCTTTTGTCCTGTCCTGGCCCAGGAAATGGTGCAGCCAAGGGTGCGCAGCAGGGCTTGGAAACGTTCCTGCTGCGTCTCAGCTCTGCTCCCTGCCTGCTGCAGGTGTTCAGCCGAGAGGAGCTGGAGCTCATCGCAGACCTGTGCGTGAAGCACGACGCCCTGTGCATCAGCGACGAAGTGTACGAGTGGCTGGTCTACGACGGGAAGGAGCACATCCGCATCGGTATGGAGGAGGGCTTGGCTGAGCCTGGGCGTCTTCTCCAGCTACAGCATCTCCTGGGGAAGCACCTGGGGATTTAATGGGGGACCCTGGCACGCACATCTTGCTGCACTTCAAACTCAGCCTCCACATCAGGTCTTAAACTGGAGCCCTGACTTCCAGAACCAGCTGGAGGAAACAGAGCTGGTTTCACAGCGTGAGATCTGGAGCAAAGAACCCTTTGGCTCCAGGGAAACTGGATTTTTGCCCATTTGGTGTAAAACTACCATTTTCTGTGTGTCTCTAACTTCGGGACATCCATTTCAACATGATTTCAGAGGCCGGTTCTTCCTGTTGCAGTAACATGCAGTTACCCCGTTGCAGGGAGCGTGCTGAGCTCTGCCATCAGTGTTTCTCTCTCGTTTCATTGCCAGCCAGCTTGCGAGGGATGTGGGACCGCACGGTGAGCATCGGGAGCGCTGGGAAAACCTTCAGTGTCACCGGGTGGAAGGTGAGCACCCCCACGCAACCCCTCTTTGTCTCCCCATCCCTATCCCTTCGCAATAAAGCGGAACATGAGGAGGTACCAAAGATTTAGCACCTTCCTCCTCCTCTCCTGGCCACAGGTGGGCTGGACCGTGGGCCCCAACCGGCTGCTGCAGCACATTCGCACCGTGCATCAGAACTCGGTGTACCACTGCGCCACGGCCGCACAGGTAAGGCAGCTCCCAGCCACCAGCCCTGCAATTCCCCAAACCAGCTTTGACCGTCTTCCCACCAGGCTCTGGATCCTCTTCCCCTCGCAGGAAGTCGTGGCTCAGGGTTTCCAGAGGGAGTTTGAGCGCTACGGGAAGCCAGACAGCTACTTTGTCCAGCTGCCCAAGGAGATGCAGCAGAAGCGAGACCAGCTGGTCCAGAGCCTGGTCGCGGTGGGGATGAAACCCATCGTCCCCGAGGGCACCTACTTCTTGGTGGCGGACATCTCCGAGTTCAGTGAGTTGTGCAGCGGCCGTGTTGCTCAAGCAGGGCCGAGTTTGGGGATCAGCTCAGCCTGGTCCCACCAGCGGGGACAGGAACCTGCACAAACAACATCCAACGAGGGGAGGGACCGCGCCGCACTGCCCAGCTGAGCTCCCAGAGGCCACGGATTTGGGGCTTGGCTGAGGCACCCGCCCAGCCACAGCCTCTGCACTGCTCCTCCTGCAGAATCCGATGTCCCTGATGTCCCCAACTCTGACGAGCCCTACGACTCCAGATTTGCAAAGTGGATGGTGAAGAACAAGGTAAATGCACCTGCCCCTTTGCACCACATTTACCGCGGTGTGTTTGTGCCCTCCCTGCAGAACCAGCAGTGGTGACAACACCACCAGTGGGCAATGTCCCTGTCCAGACCTGGTTTTAGGGTGGAAGAAGCCAGGGCATTGCTTAAGTCCATGGTAGCACCAAGCAGGGCTGGGGCTCTCCTGAGGACGTGCATGGGTCCAGCAGCCCAGGGCCAGGGGCATATTTGGGGTGTCTGTCAGCAGCTGGCCTCAAGCAGGGCAAGCAGAGCACCAAGGGGACTTGTGAGCCCGTCCGTGAGACTTGTGAGCAGTAGGTGACAGCTTTGCCCACGCTGGGACACGGCCCCAAGGCACTAACCTCAGCTCCACACCTTTCCCTCCCCAGGGACTCGCGGCCATCCCGCTCTCTGCTTTCTACTGCGGGCCCCACAAGAACAACTACAACTCTTTCATCCGGTTCTGCTTCGCTAAGGTGAGCCCTGTGGCGAGGTGAGGTTGGGGGTAATAACCAGGGCTGCGTGATGAGACGAATGCCAAGAAGAAACGAGCAGAGCCGTGGGCACTAGAGCCCAAGCACGGCACCACAGCTGGGTCCAGCCAGCCTGAGCCCCTTTTGCAGACACACAAGCGAAGCCGGGGCAGGAGGTGCTGGTGCTGCCCCGTTGGGGTCCCAACTTTCTTGGTCAGGACAGGGGGTCCCCTGGCTGCACGTTCAGCTGCCCAGGGCACGCTGCCTGCCCCAGATTGGGCTGTGCCTGTGTCACACCGAACACAGAACGAGAACGGGATTTTATTGTGAAAACAGCCCGGTGAGGGGAAGGGGAACATGGCTGGAAGCCACGAACCAAACCTCGGGGGTTTCTTTAGGAGGAAGCCACACTGAAGGCAGCAGATGACATATTGCAAAAATGGAAACTGGAGAAAACGACTCCCTGAAGGCACTGGGGAGGGAACCAGGCTCTCCTTGGCCGTCACCCATCACGATCGCTCTTCTTCTTCCTTTGCTTGGCTACAAACTTTGCTACATCCTTATTTTTGTGCCTTCAACCACATTTTTTTTTGTCAAACGGGTAAGAGGTTTGCCAGGCCCACGGTTTAAGGGGCTTTTCTGTCACTGTGCAATGAACGCACTGTTTCTTGCAAGAAGCGAGCCTTCTGGTGTGGCTCAGCGTTCAGTATTACTTCTCTTTAAAGACTTTGCTAATCAGTTCTGGGATGCGTCCAGCAAGACACGAGGTAAGGATGGCTCCACCACCACATTCTGAAAAGGTGCTTCAGGACCTACCTTCAGGGCCGTGCTGGGGTTAGGGTGCCTCGTCTTGCCCCACATCCCCACTCGTGGACTGCAGGGCTCAGGACGGCGTTTCCACCAGCACCCACATTCCCCACGGGACTGCAGCATCGCTGCCCATCAGCAGGTTGTTTCCCAGGGCCCTGAAAATTGCACACGCAGCGAGGTGTTTCCCATAATTAGCAATAATTCCTTTGGCTTTTCTGTGCATCTCTGGGGAAGGCGACCACAGGTTCAGGAACCATCTGCCCTGGACTATTGCTAAGCCTTCCCCGTGCACCCCCACGCTGCCCTTAGGACTTGGTCAGGGCTCGGTGGCACCCCCAGGCTGCAAAACCAAACCCCAGCCTTTGACAAGAGCAGGTGGTGGCCAGGGCACGGCTGCTGCCTGGTGGGGCAACACAAGCAGCATTCGGGCAGGTAATTCTAGCGTCATTCTTGATTTCAGGCTGGATAAGGATGTAAAGTAGAGTCCTCAATCGTGCAAGAGAATGCGGGATAAATATTTGTAGTGGTTAAATTATTAAAGTTGAATTATTGCAAGTACTGAAGAGTAAATGTCTCTAATGGTTACGGGGCTGACCCAGGCGCGCAGATCCGGATCTAACCCCCGGCTCCCCGGAGAAGCCTCACGCCTCAAGTCACCCATCCACCCTCGCACCACGGCAGCCCCTGCTTAGCTTGCTAGGCCGCGCAGGCGATTTAAACCCCCCTCCAGCCCCGCCCCTTTGCCCGGCCATTGGCTCGCGCTCCGCTCCGCCCCGCCCACTCGGGGCGGGCAGCGGCCAATCACGGCGGGGCCCGGCAGCGCGCACAAGATGGCGGACGGCGGCGAGGCCAAGCGGCCCCGAGAGGTGAGGGGGGGTGCGGCGCTGAGGGGAGCCCCGGGGGGGGGGGGGAGAGCCATGAGGGGAGCCCGGCAGCCCAAAAACGGCCCCAAAACGGCTCCTGTCTCCGCAGGTTGTGGACAGGAAGGTGGACTGGCAGCGCTGGAAGCAGGAGAGTAAGGCTGGGGCCGGGCAGGGGTTGGGGGTCCCGGCTCTCGGCTCTCGCCGCTGACGGCTCGGGGGGGGGCGGGGGTTTTTGTGCGCCTCAGGGAAGGCGGAGAAGAAGAAATGGAGGGAGCTGAAGCTGCTGAAGAAGCTGGAGAAGCAGCGCATGGGGGAGCTGGCGGAGAAGCAGGCGGAGCAAGCGCGGGAGGAGGAGCAGAAGGAGGACAGAGGTGAGGGGCTGGGGGGCTGGGGGGGGGGCTGACAGCCCGGGGAGCTGACAGAAACGGGACGTTTGTCCCCACAGATCTGCTCGTAGCCAGCCCCCGGGCACAAACACAACGCAACGGGCACCGCCCGACGGGCCTTTATTACCAGAAAGCCCCTCATTAAAATCTGAGAAGCGGAGGTTGCGTTTTTCTGCCCCCTCTTCCTGCAGCTGAAGCCCACGCGGTGCTGGGGGTGCAGCCGGCAGGCCCTGCGCGGCCCCCAGCCCCTCGCCCTGTTTGCAGGGAGGCACCACACGCTGAGCGTGGCCCTGCCCGGCTCCATCCTGAACAATGCTCAGTCGCCGGAGCTGCGCACATACCTCGCTGGACAGATCGCCCGAGCCTGTGCCATCTTCTGCGTGGATGAGATCGTGGTGTTCGACGAGTACGGGGAAGATACAAAGTAAGGACGAGCTATTTTGTGCTGTTTCTTTTGTGTTTTCTGTTCCTTTATTTAGCTGAGGACAGGAAAGAACTGTGAAGAACTGTGTGTAGCTCAAGCAAGGGTTTGAATTTCCCATAGACAGCAGCATTACAGGGAGCCCTGCACTGGGCACAGGTGTTTACTTAACTGCTTTGGAAATTAGAATCATTTATGACAGCAGGGGGAGAACAAAGCAGCAGGGGAAGGTTTCCTAGTGCTTTTAGGGTTGATGGGGAAGCTGCTTCTATTCACAGATTAAGGAGAAATGGTCAGATCTCCAGAAGACCAAGACTTTGTTGCTTTGCAGTCCCATACTGAGTTTACAGACTGCTCTCTCTCTTCCAGGAGTGTGGAGGGTGAATTTGAAGGAATTGGAAAAAAAGGCAAGGCTTGCGTGCAGTTGGCTCGGATCCTGCAGTACCTGGAGTGCCCTCAGTAAGTCTACTGCAGTCAGACTGTGTCAGATGAGTGTTAGAACCAGCTCCCAGCTGGTGATTTGCATGGTTACCTCATGGTGTGGGCTCCAGAAACAATATAAACTCTATTTATATTGCATGATTTTGCATGAACACGGGATCTGATTGTTTCACATCTGATTCAGGCGTTTAACTGATGGAACAGCAGGGACTTGGGAGAGTTAATCATACCCTGTACTCAGCTCCTTTAGAGTCAGTACAAAGCTAGAGCTGAGGCCCAGGTGTCTTAGAAACAACTGTTTTCATATTTAAACCTTCTCTGATAATAGGTACTTGAGGAAATCCTTTTTTCCAAAACACGGAGATCTGCAGTTTGCAGGTAACGATTCGGTTGCCTCTATCCCACGCTGTTGGCTCCCCCTTCCTGAGCTCTGGCTCTCATTTTGCATGGGATGCACAGAGCTTAAAAACTTTTCCCCACCTTAGAGTGGGGATGAGGTGCTGTGCTCCACTGGACCACAGAGGGAGGAGCAGCAGAGCAGCTGTACTTACACATGTTCCTGCAGTTTGTGCCCTGTCCTTACCTGTTCCTTTCCTGCTGTTCCAGGGCTCCTCAACCCCCTGGACAGCCCTCACCACATGCGGATGGATGAGGACTCAGAGTACCGAGAAGGCGTGGTGTTGGACCGGCCAAGTAAGCCAGGCAAAGGCTCTTTCGTCAACTGTGGGATGAGGAAGGTACGTCTGTGGGTGAAACAACTCATCCTGTCGCTGGCAGATCTGAAGCAGGCGTGATGGGTACAAGCACTGCTCGGCTTCTGAGCATCCTGCTTCAGAGCAGGCTGGCATGGGGGTTAGTGCTGGTGCTGTCCTGTCCCTTCTGGCCCCTTAATGTTTGTAACTTCCCGAGTTCTGGCCTGCCCACCCAGCACCTCACTGCTTTGCTGCTGAGTTTGAACCTTTGAGCAGCCAAGTCTCAGGCTGCTGATGCAAACACGCCTGCTCTGCATGGCATGCAACATGCAGCCCCTGATTGCAGAGCTCCTCATTCCAGCTCCAGGCCAGAATAGGCCCCCCGCCCTGCAGAGCATTCCCTCCCTCCCCACCCTCCCCAGTACCTCCAGACTGTCTTGACACTGCTGCTGACTGTCCCTGCAGGAGGTACAGATCGACAGACAGCTGCAGCCTGGGCTGCGAGTGACGGTGCGCCTGCAGGAACCACAGAACCCAGGTAATCTGCTGCTACGTTAGCATCTGCAGACCTTACTCCTGCTGGAGTTAGTCCTTCTGTATGACAGCCTTCAGATTACTAACATTTGACGATAGCCAACAGCTCCACATTCTTTTCACTACACACACAGAGTAGTAACACCCTTACACAGCCCCCTAGTGCATTGGAAGGACCTGTCAGCTCTTTGGCCAGCAGTAAATAGCCCAAACACGCTCACACTTTCCAGAACACACTCAAAAGGGAGGCTCGTGGTTGTGCAGTGAGTCGGTGCCTTGCCACAGGAGAAACCTCAGCATGTGGCTGGTCAAGTTCAGCTCTCAGCAGGACCTCACGGGGGTTGTTAATCTCTTTGCTTCCCTTTCAGAAGCAAAAGTGCGGAAGGGCATCGTGGTGTCCTCACACCACCCTCGGACGGTGTCAGGCTTGTACTGGGGCTACAGCGTCCGCCTCGCCTCCTGCCTCAGTAAGTATTTGGAGGCGTTCTTTGCTTTCTGCTGTGCAGAAGGAGCTTTATTCCACCTGGGCTTCCACACCAATTTCAGGCTGCACATCTGTAACATGTTAACGTGTTAGTGGTGCTGGAAATCAATTCTTTCTTCTGCCACCAGTCACCTGTGGAGTGTCTGAACCTGCCCAGAAGGCAGCACAGGTGAGGAGCCCCATGCTGATAACCACGGGCTGTGTTTGTTTCCCAGGTGCTGTCTTTTCAGAGTGTCCGTTCAAGGAAGGCTACGATCTCTCCATTGGGACCTCAGAGCGGGGCAGTTCTGTGGACCAGGTCACTCTGCCCTCCTTCAGGTTTGTCACCCACATCTGCAACCCCACTCAGAGCCCCCAGTGGGGCCTGGTTCAGGGCACACAAGAAAAAAAAAAAAGCTCCTAACACCTGCCTCAGTATGATGGTTTGAGCTGTTCTCCCTTCTAACCCTGTCCCTGCGCTGTCCCCTAGGCACGCCCTTGTTGTGTTTGGAGGTCTTCAGGGCTTAGAAGCTGGGGTTGATGCAGATGCAAACCTGGATGTCACTGACCCAAGCCTTTTGTTTGACTTCTACCTGAACACTTGTCCCAGCCAAGGCAGCCGAACCATCCGAACAGAGGTAGGGCAGGTGGCTCACGGTGCAGCGGGTGTGGTGCCTGTGCACACAGAGCAGCGCTGCCTTCCTGCCTCTGGCAGTGACACGTACAGCCAGTGTAATTCCCCCAGCAATGCCTCAAACAGTCCCTGGCTTGCCCAGGGGTCCCTTGCCAAGGACAGCAGCTCTGAGTGCGGCACGGGTCTGTTCCAGGAAGCGCTGCTGATCTCTCTGTCTGCACTGAGACCTCGCATTGAGGAGGCCGTGAAGACACCCACCGACAGCTGAGGGAAGGAAAGCCACCAACCTTGTCCTCCACTTTGGACTGCCTCAAGGAAGAGCTTTTTGCTATTCAGACACAGGGAAGCCCTGCCAGGCTCCTGGAGTGATAAGCCTGGGGGAAGCTGCAGGCATCTGACCAAAGCTGGCAGCGCTGCTCAACCGAGTGTCTGGCTTCTCCTGGGACCAGCACATCTGGGGCCTTCCACACCTGCAGCATCCAGCCAAGAGCAGGTCGCTGCCTTGCAGCAGCCTGGGACAAGCTTAGCAGCAAACTGAGTCTCGGCAATTCAGCTGTCTCAGGTGGGGAATAAAACAGTACCAAACCTCAGCTGCCTTGAAGTCTGCATGTGAATGTTTTGTGACAAAGATGGGCACTCAGTGCCCTTGCAGCCCTGTGGCCTTCAGCCTTGAAGGAAGTAATTTAATCCTTACCCTTATGCAGCTGTTCCCATCACACAGCTAGCCTGACTCCCCAGCCCCCCTTTAACCTAAAGGCTTCCTCCCTTCCCAGTGGCAGGAAGGGATGGAGCTTCACTGGGCTCTGAGCTAACTGGATAATCTTTAAGGTCCCTTCCACCCCAAGCTGTTCTATGATGCTAAAGCACATCACCATACCCCGTTACAGTTTGGCTCAAAGAGAAAAGCAGCTGGAAAAGCTGGCTTTACCCTTTCCCCTTCCTGCCGAGTTATTCAGGGACTTCAATAGGAGCAGATAAGAAACAACCCATTCTTTGGATTTTCAAAGCTTTACTGCTAAAACCGTCTTCCGAAAGAAAACAATTACACAGTCCTTTGGACGCAGAAAGGCAAGGACCTCTCCCCATACCTGTCTTGCTCCTGTCCTTCCCTGCTTCCCCTGTAATTTCCCTTTGTGTTTTAAGGGCCACAAACAAAAGGAGTTACAAGAGTACCCACAGCTACTGCAGTGTAGGGGCAAATCCTAGAGAACTACTTGTCAAGTGCCCAGGAACCTTCCATGCAACCTACCCCTGAGACATGCTTTGCATGTGTTTCACTGTTACATGAAATGGGCTGAGAGAAGCACTGCTTTCATTCTTAGTCCCTGTGTTCAAAATTGCACAAGGAGATACTGTGAACTACTGCCGAAAGTCCCTCCCAGAGGATACCTGGATTTCCTCAGTCAGGGTTCAACGCTTGTTTCCAGCCGTGATGGCTTTCAAGTTACTTGTTCTCTTCAAGATGTTGGGGACGAAGAGGAGCCCTGAGGCTCGCTCAATGCTCTCGATGGGAACCAGGAACCGTTCAAGTGGGATTTTCTCGTCCACGGGGCTGTTGGGCATCACGTAGGAGCGCAGCTCGATCTCCCCACTCTCCTTTTCCAGGATGAGCACCTTGAAGAAATGGGTGGGGACGGCCACGTTGTTCTTCCCAATCACCTGGTACTTGACATACATCTTCCCGTCGGCCTCCATCCTGCACCAACAGCAATGTCCCACGTTAGCCCCCAGTCTGGTGCCTATTCCACCCCTCAGCCCTCCAGCACCACCCTAAGAGAGCCCCTGCTGCATGGTGGTGGTGAGGCTGAGCTTTACATAGCGTCTGCTCCCCCCAGGATCCCTTCCCCACTGTCTCTCCTTTAACAGCCTTTCCAAGCTATTTCTTGCTGTGAAAAGATCCCAGCTGGTGAGAGCTGCTCTTTCCAGTCCTACACAAATATCCTTGCAGATAATGTCATGCTCTTAGGTGAACAGAGAGTCCATAAAATGAAACCTAGGAGCTTTATTCTGCAGGGAGGGGTTCTGCAGTCTAGTCTCTTAATTTAATGCTGCTGTATTAGGAAGAACTGAAAACAGAAGTCACCAGGTTACCTTGTATCTTAAGAAACCCACCCTAGGTATTCCCAAAATAACTGTCTGAATGGGAACCTAATCCCAATCCCAAGAAATCACCGTTCTGCAGAAACTCTGCACGCTGCTGATCTCACCTACTGAAGGGGCTCTTAGCGGATCGCTCCTGTTTCCGAGCAGCTGGGAGGCTGCAAGCCCTCGGCCTGCTTTACCTTCCCAGCATGACATCGCTCGAGTGTGGTCCCAGCTGCATCCTCGTGTTTACCTGGGCAGGTAAAGAGGTCCCGTGCAGACATAGACATTCTTGTTGTTCCTTGCCAAGCTTCTGCTGTACTTCTCAAGGTTATTCCAGGCATTTTTGTTTAAATGAGGAACCTGAAAACACAAGCAGTGGACATGGACGGTACAGTTAGTCACCAAGGGAACCTCCTCCCTGCTCAATTTTCCTCATAACAACATCCGCCTTTCAGTAACCCTTCTGGAGTGCTCGGGGCACTGCAAGCCAAGGTCACTACAGCTTCCAGAGAGCAGGTGGCAGTGTACAGAGATCCTACTTTGCACATGCAGCAGCAGAACCCACAAGACTACCACCTCTAAGCATATGTCCACCCGTTCAGCTGCCGCACACTGTTCAGACTGGGGTCCCTCTCATGGGTAGAGGGAAGCACCCAGGCAGGTCCTTACTGAGGACCTTTGTGCCTGTTTGCAGAAGCTCTTGGGGCTAACGTTGTCACCACCCCTTAGATATAATTTAACACTTAAATTGCCCTGTGTGGAGTCAGGAGCTGGACTCCATGATCCTTGTGGGCCCCTTTTAACTGAATATATTCAGCAATTCCATGAACCCCACCACCCCGAGCGAACGCAGCTGCCTCAGCCCCTCTTTACCAGAGCTACTGCCAGGCTTTGAGCAGCAGCACCCCAGGGGCGAGACCTACCTGGGGGGCGACATTACTGAGGTAGAAGGTGTCCCTCATGGCCTTCTGGCTCCACTTGTGGTTGGCGGCGGCCGCCAGGTGACCGCGGTCGAAGCCGCTGCCGCGGTAGTCGGCGTTGGTGGCGCGGTGGTACTCGTGCACCGAGTCGTCCTCCTGGAAGTCGCAGGCGGCGCGGTCGGAGGCTCCGCTGAGCGTCTCGCGGTTGAGCTGCTCGATCACCCAGAGCGCGCTGCGGCTCCGCGGGTCGTAGCACAGCACGTAGGACTCGCGGCTCCGCAGCTGCGCCAGGCCGGGCAGGCCGTACTTGGTCAACTCCACTCTGCCAGACCCGGTGACCGCCGGTGGGCCTGCTGCTGCCGCTGCCTGCACCACAGGCAGCACGGGCACGCGGCCCAGCAGCCCCGCCGCCTCCTCCGCATCGCCCTCACGGCGCTGCCAGAGGGTGGTGAGCACCGAGCCCAGCCCCGCACCCAGAGCCAGGGAGGCCCCGGGCAGCAGCCAGCGGCCCCGCAGCATGGCCCCGCAGCGACTCCCGCTCCCAGCGGTTCCTTCCCAAGGGTTTTTTTCTCTTCCGGTACCCGCCCCGCCGCCACCGCCACACACCCGTGAGGGAATTGGCCCTTCAAGGCCTCCACGCTCCTCCCGCGGTGCCCACAGAAGCACAGCCGGCAGCAGTGTGCAAAGAAAACACTTTATTGGGGCGCAGCGCGGCGCTGGGCCCGGCCGCGGGCACTACGAGGCCGAGGAGCAGCAGCAGCCCCGCTGCCACCCCACACAGCCTCGCTCAGTGGGGTGGCAGCACAAAGCCTCCTCCTCCCCCCCCCCCCGTCTCACTAAAGGAAGCGTTATAAAAATAGTGTTTAAAAAGAAGCATAAAAGAAGGAGTTTTAGAGTGAGGAAGTGTTCTCTGCACCCCGTTCTGGCAATTCTTTCCAGACAAGGTAAAGGGAAATAAAATAAAAAAAAAAGTGTTATTTGACAAACCGCCCGGTGCGTTCCTCTCTTCCTGGGGAAGGGCAGTGTAGGAGAGAGCCCCGAGAACAGTCACTGACCCTCACTCAGGGAGACAGCCCCTGCTTCCCCAAACACCCCAGAGTGCCCCCAGTCAGCTCCTGGCCCTTATTTCACTCACTGCCAAAGTGCGAATAATTCCCCGTGAGGTCCCAGAATTCAAACTCTGTCATTCTGCACGACCATCATCAACTTCACCTCCAGTATCCCGGTCCTTCTACCTCACTGGCAGAGCCACAAGTTCCCAGGAGCCTGAACTGCACACGGTGAAAGTCCTGGACCTCCTCCTCCCAGGGAAGGCTCGGGTCCCCACATCCACCGTAGCACCCTGATTTTCTTCCTAGTTGAAGATGGGTCCTCTCATCCCACCCAGCAGCAGTGCCACCTGTGAGGAACGCTTCCTAAGAGCTATTTAAACATCCCCTGTTCAGGACCCTATGAAAGAAGGCACCCTCAAGGCACCCCAGGCTCCCACCTTCTGACCCCAGGAACTGCTGCTGCAGCCAAACTCACTGCTGCTGCAGCACCTTCGGACTGAAAGAAGTCAGAGGAGGAAATATCCCCAGGATGGCACCGGTGCTACTTGGCCACACAAGCCAGGAACAACCATAACCTAGTTAATGCTATCTGACCTCAAAAAAAAAATAAAATTAAAATCATCACAAACAGCCTTTGAGGAATGAATGCACGGAAACTAATGAGGTGATTCAAAAGCTGGGAACAAGACTTTTTCTCCCCTCAGAAGATCCATTTTTGCTCTTAAAGAAAGGGGCAAGTCGTGGAATAAAGAAATGGGTGGCCCAAGTCATTGAAAAGTAGAACAACTCCCTTCAAAGCCCTTTCCAGCAGCAGAACAAAGTCCTGCAACACAGCAGAGGGAGAAGGAGGGACATAAAACAGCTTTTCATGTAGGAACCAGCCTGCCTGGGTGTATCAAAGTTGTTAAAAGTTTTCCCCCAAAAAGAACTCAAATTAACCAGTTTAGCAGCCATAGGCTTGTCTGGATAAAGCTATTGATTGAATTCATCCCAGAGAACCTTTCCAGCAGCCAAAGCTCTCATCTCATCCTGTTAAACCACTGCAAACTCTTTTTAAAAGTGTTCACCATCACCCACCCTGAAGAGAAATAAAACAGCATAGTAAGCCCTTGGACACCTAGGAAGGGAAGAGACAGCATGACACCTGTACCAGCCAGCAGCAGACCCTGGTGCTCCATTACCCACCTCCACGGTGTCTTCCTCAAGCGTTTGTGATGCTCCAGCCCCACACGTGACTCTGAAAACAAGCAGGAGTTCATCCACAAGGAATGTTTTGATCCTCATTTGCCTGCTGCCTTCTGAGATTTTTAAGGAGACTCACAGAGTGAGTCTTTCAGAGAGACTTTCAGAGCAGGAACCCTCACGGAAGCTGCTGTTACCAGTGAGAAACCACACAGTAAGCACTTGCAAGGGGGACCCAAAATAGCCAGCAGGGGCATACAGGGAGATTGTGCATGGAAGGTACGAGAGCTACAGCAATATTCAGAAGAGTGTTTTGGAGGAGGTCCAACTCTGCTATGAGTCTGACCCTCCAGTCCCACATTTGTGGCTACCACCTAGCAGTTTGGCCACGTGAGGTCTGACAACCGGCCTCTGTAGTGCAGGTTCCCAGCAGCTGAGACCACCTAGAAGAGCGCAGTGATCAAGGCAGGAAGAACACTCATCCTGTGGCTAGAGCTGACAGGATGCTCCATCACACAGCCGTCCTGGTCCTTCAGTTCCACTTTTCTTGGAGGAAAACTCTACCCTCTAAAAGGATTGCAGCAAAGAGGGATGCTGTCAGCCACAGGTATTGATTAGATTGTTTTAAGCCTTCAGTTGCTCAGGATCCACCACAGCAGCAACACCTGGCTGCATCAGTGTCACTTGAGCGTCTTCTAAAGAGGCAGATAGATTGCTTGGGGTTGCTAACAAGAACATAGGTGCGTGCATCAACCTGTCTGCCTGTCTCCCCACACAGCCTCAAATGAATTACAGTCACCCGCAAAGAACTGGCCTTCAGTGAAGGAAGTAACACTTAGTAAAACAGCAAAAGGCTGACAACATCCCTCTTGGTAGGGCCGTTCTAGGCCATGAGCAGCTTAAGCAGATCTTTGAAAGATGACTGACCTTTAACAAATCAATACCCATAATACCGAAAATCGCAGTGTCAAACAGCTATGCAGAGGTGAGCCAGCACAGCACAGAAAGAGGGTAAAGCATGCCGGATTAGTGTTCACTCAAGAGCTTCTGCACAACCCAAGCACCTGGGTGCTGGCAGTTTCTCCTGTTGAGGATTATGGTTTCTGATCAGCAGGTTAGCAGTTCTTTCCATAGCTTGTCTTCGTCGCTGTTCACTTAAGCCTGCTCTACAGTATTCGAAACGCAGCAGCTTCCCTCTGAGGAGGGACAAGTGTCCAACTCACGCCTGTCACACCAGCAGGACTGGTACAGAGGATGTGGATCAGCCCCAGGAGTCAACTAATGACTGAAATGCTTCTATGCCCACTGGATTGCACTGGAATAGAACTCTTACTTGTAGCTCAGACCTGTAATGTGTCCCTTCCTGGTGAGAAGTGCTATTAGACAATACCAGGGTTACCATTACCAGAGCTTACGCGGAGTAATACTTTGCAAGCCACTGAGGCAGGAAACCTCAATGCCGTGCCTGTATAAGTCCCTAAATATAGCTGTCTTCATGCAACTAGATGCTTGTTTCTTGTGTTTCGGAATCCTGATTGTAGCTGGATATCATAGAATCATGTGGATATGCCCCAGTTCAGAGACAGAAAAGCAGCTTGAGGCCTAAGCCTCCCTGCAGCAACAAGCTCCTGCTCTAAGGCTGTGCGTAGTAAGGCTTGACTTCAAGCTACACTTCACTCATCGATTAAAACCACTGCAGCCTTGCTTTCAAGGAGTCCTTCTTGGTAAGGCCATTCTGGGTTCAGGCAGTTTCGGTGCACAAAGCTGGCAGCTGTAATGATGTCTTCCCCTCTCAGCTTCTCAAGATCTCTTTCCCATGTGAAGGGGTCCAAACTGTTGGATGCCAGATGACACCCAGAAGCTGATGCAATCTTCTTCTTTCTTCTTTTTTTTTTTTTTTTTGCACACCCCAGGGATGGCTAAGTGCAGACACGAGGGAGAAGAATCCAGAAGCTACTTGAACAGCAGGGTGTGTGACTTCGTTGGGATACATTCTATTCACAGGAGAAAGATTCTTCTACGCTCACCCACTGAAATCCACTGGATCCAGCCTGTCCCTTCCCCATCAGAAGTTACTCCATGTGAGCTACCTTCATGATGCAGAAGGAGTCCACCCCTTGAGGGATATGCTGACAGATGGTTTCTTTCTCCACTTAAAGTCATTAAAAAAGATACAAAGAACTGCTTTTGGCAGCACAGAGGCATTTGAAGTTTGAGAAATCTGGAGTGCAGGACCCAAGCAGATGGGGAAGTAATCAGTCCTTGACCTAATAAATAGAGTAGAAGGAAGTCTTCAAGGTGGCCAGTAGCCCAAATGCAAAACCTGAAGTCCTGCAGAGACCTCTAGGAGTTTTAATGCGCCACACTTCACAGGGGCATCTCCTAGGATCCACTGCCATACAGTTTCTCCAACACCTTTTGTGAGGCTCATGGACTATTTGGAATCCTGAAGTTCCTTTGCCTTCTTCAAAATCAGGTGAACATCGGAGATAGGATAATCCTACGGTAAAGAAAAACAATTTAAGTGCCAACTTCGCATTTCCTGCACACATCATTCCACCTAAGCAGAGCAAACCTTGGCAGTACAATTCTTCACCTATTATAACACATTGTCATGTTCAGCTACCCACCTGACAGTTAACAGCTTCCTGTTTTGTATCTGATCAAACCCTGATACCCTTCAAGAAGTTTTTGTAGCTTGTCCTACACGGGTACAGTCAGCTGGCCTGCTACAAGGGCTATCTTCATGCCAAAACACCTTATCAAAGCCAGTACCTTGCACAGCCCAAAGCAGGAACTGGCAGAATCAGAGATATCCTGCTGTTCTGTGAAGGTGTTCTCAACCTTGGGCTCTCTCAGATCTCAGAGATAAACAAAAGTCTCTGGCCAGCAAATTTGACATTGTTACATAGGGCATAAAAACTTCGCTAGAAAACATTTATTTTTTTGTAATGCTAAAAGCCTCTAGTCTATGAGGATTTCTCTGTAGACCAGGAAGGGAGCACATGCAAAAGAAGGCTCTGTGTTAATGGTAGTGCTGGGCTCCAGACCACAGTACTGTGCCCCACCAACAGCAGACCATAGAAGGAATATTGGTCTCTGAAACAGAGCTCGTTGCTTTTCTAGCACTAGGGAGGGGGAGGAAGGAGAAGACATCCATACAGAGCTGAGAAGACAACACAGGTAGCATACAGCCACATTCTGTACGTGGAAGTGAAAGCCCAGGTAAAAAAAAAAAAAAGCCCAGGTAACAGCACAGACCACCACCAAGGAGGTGAAGGCAGTCATTTCTCCCAAGTGAGTCTGGTTTCCCTGTGGGTGGTGGGGACCACAGCACGCAAAGATTCGTACTTCCAGTAAGAAGCGTGCTATAAGAACAACCTTAAGATTTTTCTGCAAGCAGCCATCAGAAATCCAGTACTTCTCCTCAGCCAGGCC